CACATACAAAAAACCTCTCCAAAAAAAAAAAAATTCTCTTAAGGCATATACAGCAAATTTTAACTTGTCTTCAGACTTTTTGATCACCAAAGTAGCTTAAAAGCTTCTAAAAATAGGGGCCAGAGGTGGTGTGGAAGTTAAGGTGCTAGATCCCACACTGTCAACTGTATGGTTTGAGTCCTGGATCTGGTGGCTTGAAAATTATGCTGGGAGAATATGCATGCATGCCCCAAATCCCAAGAGGAGAATGGAGGAGGAGAGACTGTGGCATGGCCACCCCTCCAGGGGGGGATTTCTCACTTTCCCTCTCTTTTTCTCTTTCTGTGTCTCTTTCTGTCTCTATGGCGCGCACACCTGCCCTATAGCAAAAACAAAAAACAAAAACCAAACAAACAAAAAAGCTAAAAAATTTAAAAATAAAGGTTTATAGCATGTAATTGTTTACAGTGAATGAATATAAAATAAATTTTTAAAAGAAATTTTGTCAGAATATTGATATCTTTAATGTTTTTCTCTGCCTACACACACACACACACACACACACACACACACACACACTGTCTTTGGTTTAGACAATTACAGCCATATTATACATACTGTTTTAAAATGTAGATTAAATTATGTTTTCTACCTAATTTTGAATATTTTCAATATCACTAGATATTTTTAATGGCTGCACAGCATTTCAAATTTGGATGAGCCTTATTAAACTTTACTTACATAGTAACCCTATTGTTAGACAGCTATTTCTTCTAAGTATTTATTATATCTTTATATATCTTGTATATAATTTTTTGCACATATTTAATCATTCACTTAAAATATTTATTTATAATTATTTATTAAATTTCATTTATCCATTCATTTATTTTTAATTTGACAGAGATAGACATACACAGAGAGAGAGAGAGAAAGAGGGGAAGTGAGAAAGCAATCCACAAGCTCCAGGACTTGAGCCATGGTCAGCCATGTGAGTGTCCAGCACCTTAACCACCATGCCACCTGCTGGTCCTCAACTTAAAATATTTATTAAGGATCCACTATATGCCAGGCACTGTATAAATTCAAGAGAGAGGTAATGAATAAGATAGATAAGGTCTCTGCTCAATTTTGTTGGGAGACAGATAATAAAGACAAGGAAAAAGCATATATAAGTAAGATGCTTTTGGGGTTGTTATTGGGCTTCTGAAAGGCTCCTCTTCACTTATTCACTTCCTACAAAAAATGCATTACTGGGACCGGCAGTTGGTGTAATGGCTATGTTGCTGGACTCCCATGTAGTCAACCGTGGTTTGAGTCCCAGACCCGGTGGCTTAAACTCACGCCAGGCGCGTGTGCATAAATGCTCAAGCTCCTGAA